ACTTGACCCGACCTGAACGCGTGCAATGCGGGAGACCAAGACTCGTGAAGCTGGTGACCGAGGTTTGAACTGTCCGTTGACAAGTGGAGCCGACAGCCGAGTGGCGAGCGCGCTGGCGCGTGATACTCAAGACACTCTCAGCCCAGGGGTCGAGTCCTGGTCGGGGCGAACAATTCTTTTTTGCAAGGGGGGAGGGCTGCTGAGTAGAAGGTCAAGTCCACCTCTCCATGTCGGTTGGTCTTTTGTCCTAACCCTTGTACCCCTCGCCACAAACTATTAAATAGGAAAAGGTGAGCTTCGGTCAGTATTCGAACTTCGAACCTACAACCATCCATGTCCCGAGCGCGCGCTTTACCAACTGAGCCAGTGATGAGGCTGTTGAATAGGTTAAGCTTATCTCCGCTGTGGCTCACACCACGGCTCACACCCCGGCTGGCAGAGAGGAAAAAGGGTTCCGGGTCGACTAGATTCGAACCAGCGACTTTTGGCGTACTGGCCCATCACATCAGGTGTCGCACGGCTGTAAAGTCATGGCCAGCGGAGCGCGAAAAATATCACCCGGCCGAGATTCGAACCAGCGATCAGGTTCATACCGGGCTCGGACGCTACCGACTTGGCCACGACGGAACGATACATCGCACAACTTTCGGCGACATGCAGATCTCAGCTGTGACTGACGCCCGAAAAGACTCGGCCAGCAGAGCAGGAAAAATTATCGCTGACGGGATTCGAACTACCGACCATGCTCACGATCTGCCCACGATCACGCTTTAACACGCTCGGCTACCAGCTTGCTCCTCGGGGGGGCGAGGTGTGATCTCGGTGCTGCCTAACGGGAGACAAAAAGAGACAAAGAAAAAATTTGCCCTGCCCGGGAGTTGACCTTGGGGCCGACAATTTTGGTTCGGATGAAGCTGCATGCAGTCATATCGACTTTAGCTACAACTGTTTAACCACAAAAGGAGCGTGTGGCTGGTGTTGTCGGACATCGTATGTTGCCCCATTTGTGACCACATTTTTGTGTCCATGAACACTACTACCTGTCGCCGCGACACGAGTTGTCGCTTGGACGCCTGCGAGGTAGGCCATGGATTCTCTCTAAGGCGTCTTTCGTGACGGTGACTTTGGGTTTAGGCTCCTTTTGACCCCATTCTCAGAAATCCTTTCTAAACCTAGGTCGTTACGCCGTGTTTATCTAGGCGTGGGTCGATGACTGTCGCTGAAAACGCCTGGAGGGTAGGCAATGCTTTCCTGAATCGGGCCTTCGCGGCCCCCTCAGAGCGCTTGGACAAAGGCGAGAGCTTCGGAGAGGCATTGATATCTATCTTTTCGCGGTCTAGTTCTTGGCGCTGTTTACTTCTGGTTGATATTCTAGCATTGGCGGAAGTAATGAATTAGTCTATAGACTGTTCAGTTTAAGCTGACTCGGGCACTGTCGGCTGTAGCTACAATCTTGTACCTACAAACAGGGACGTTCGCCCGGCCCGGCTCGGCCAGTCCTACGCCACGGTGGGAGCTCTGGTTTATTGCGTCGCTGTTTTGCTAAAATTTTGCTAAGGTCTTGCCTTTAAAATTTTCAAGAAAATATTGGACCAGTAATTTGAATATTTTGTTCTAGGGGTTGCAAAACGCGTTTTAAGACACTTAAGGGGGGGGGGGGTATTTTTTTTGAAAATTTGGCGAAGGTTTTTTTTTTGTCCACATATTTTGTTTCCGTTTTACTTTCGCCCCTAAAAAGACGCAGCCGCCCGCTCACGCTCACCTCAAAGTACTTGTAGACGTACGAGTCCTTGGTCATGGCGAGCGACTGGTCGAGGCCGACGTCCACGCGCGGCAGGCACGGCAGCGTGCCTATGAACAGGCACACGAAGAACACGGGCACGGCGACGCGCACCCAGCGGTTCATGAGCGCGGGCGCGAGCACGTGCTCGAACAGGCGCTCGACCAAGCGGCTGCCGCGGGCCTGCTCGCGCTTCATCCGGGACGCGCTGCGCACGCTGCAGCAGCAGAACAAGTCCAGGCGGTTGCAGAGCATGCGGTGCTCGTCCAGGGCGAGCACGGCCATCAGCACGGTGCACTGCATGACGAAGTTGATGGCGAGCGAGAGCGCGGCGAGCAGCGCGAACGACCTGACGGCCGGCATGGACGACGAGGCGCCGATGAGGAAGCAGCTGCCCTCGGCCAGCGTGGACAGCAGCATGGCCGGGCCCGACTCGCCCAGCGTGCGGCCGATGCGCTCGGGGCAGGGCCGCGGCTGGGCCTCCTTGCTCGCGCTCAGCAGGCGCTCGTGCGTCGCCACCAGGATGAACAGGTTGTCCACGCCCACGGCCAGGACCAGGAACGGCACGGCCTGCAGCATCGACAAGAAGGTAGAGTCGGAGTCCAGGCCAAGGACCACTTTACTCTCAAAAATATCAGTGTACACCGTACACCCTCCAAAAAAATCAGAAAAATTTAGGAAAATTCCAGGAAGAATCCAGGAAAAATCCAGGAAAATGCAAGAAAATTTAGAATTCTTTTAGGAAAATTCAGAAAAAAAATTAAGAAAATTGGTGTGCGCTTGAATTTATAGTAAGGCACCCCTTGCTCCATGCCCGACGTGCACATGGGGCGTTCATTCGTGCCGCACCTCAATCGTCAGCAGAATGGTAGGGTAGTTCATGTGTGCGAAGATGCCCAGCGCGGCGGCCAAGGACGCCAGGACCGATAGGACGCCGCTCACGGCGACAAACACCTTGCTGTCGATCTGGATAGGGAGAGATCAGAAGCGGCTTTAGTCTCAGAGAGCTGTACCATGTAGGAAATAAAATGTGATGAAAATGAGAATAGCATGACTTAATATTTTTACAACCGTGTTTTCGCGAATTTCTTTTGCGGCACTGCCTGGCACTGCCACATGTCTGCGGCATCACTTACCAGCAGCCGCCTCCAGGTGGTGAAGCGGCCCAGCGACAAGGACACGTACACGATCATAAGGAAGTATGAGAGCGCGATGATGCCGAAGGACGTGTAGGACACCCTCTGGATCTCGTCCTCGATGGAGCGTTCGGCCATGTAAGCGATGTCCATCCACGCTGGCATCTCGTTGGCCTCCCAGTGCTTGAGGAGGTCCACCAGTCTGATGGAAAGTAAAATTACGTTGAGTTAGTTATAACGTTCAGAACGATGTTGAAAGAAATAATATATAATAATAAGAAAGAGTGAGGAAAGGGGGGGGGGGGGATTCTTTTCCTTCTGATAGAATGAAAGCGACGATCTCGGGAGTTGTTTTACCTTTTCTCCCACTCCTCGGCGGCCGCATTATCCGTATCGTTGACGTGGTTGCTCACGATAAAGTTGAGGACGAGGGCGTCGGCCTGAACCATGGTCTTGTTGTCGTCGTTCAGGAAGCCGCCCACGACCAGAAGGTTCTCGGCCGGCCCGCCGTAAGGTGCGAGGCAGGACGGGTCGTAAGAGTTCCTGGAACAGGCAGGAGTTACAGAGGACGCTGCCGTGGGCGCGACCAGCGCGCTGGGGGAGGCGCCGGGCGAGAAGGCCACCCAACGCACACCAGAGCGGGCTGGGCCGAAAGTCCAGGCGGCGGCCCAGAGTCTATTCCAGACGCGTGGCATACTCACTGCAAGCAGTCGTAGATAACGTTGAGGTAGTTGGTCTTCAGGCCGTTTTTCACGCCCGTCTTGTTGAATTTCTCCATCGAGTTTTGGAAGTAGCCCCAGACGGTCTGGATGGTGCACTTGTCCACCGTGACGGGTCCCGTGAAGTCGTTGTGTAAAGGAGCGAAGCACACCTCCTCCAGCGGGTGGCCCTCGGCCCGTCCCAGCTGTGAGTTAATAAAAAATATGTCGCGTTAAGATGCGGAAAGTGCGGCGAAGGGAAACGTCAGGGCCAAATGCTATTGCCACTTTTTCCTCTTTCCTTTCTTTTAAGAAAGACGGGACTGGGTCGAAGCCCCCTGCCCTCAAGTTCAGAGAAATAAAAACTCACGTCTTGAATGGCACTCTGGAGCTCCCAGACTTTAAGCAAAAACTCCTCGCTAAAAACTGGGCCGAAATTCACAGTTCCCTGGGGCATCTCATGAGGCACCTGCAACATTATGTTTTAATTGTAACACGTTTCAGCTGAAGTTTGTGTGTGACACCGTCGTGGAGCCATAGCGCACCTCCGGTAGGCCAACCGCCTTCACGAAAATCTGTTCGGCTCGAAAGAATGGCCCAAAGTGTGAGTCGAAGAAGTCCTTGTCCTTCCTGGTCTGTGACGTTGGGGAGGCCCACAGGTCGACAGGCTTCGTGATTATGTCCAGCTTGGAGATGGCCACGAGGCAACCCGCCAACACCCAGGACGCAATGAAAAAGACGAGTACCGGATTTCTGGCACATCCTAGAAACAAAACATACCTCTATAATATAACAGAAATTTCTTTTTAAAAAGACCTAAGCTATAACTGTTGTTTTAATTTTAATTTGAACTTACCACACCCGATACCCGTAAAGACCCTTTCCAGGGAAGTCTCGAACTTGAAGCCAGTTCTCTCCCGCCAGCTTGGGGTTTCCGCGTCTGAGCTCACGTCGATGGTGCCGTTGCTCGAAACGTTAGCAGAGGACCCCACCGAAGGATTGTTGTCCAGGATTCCTGATTAAGATTCAATCCACGACCCGTTGAGGAACGGAACACGTGCGTCGACACGATATCGCTTGTTGAAGATTTAAATTTTGATACCGTGCCGGGGCACAAAAACGAACCTCTTTCGACGCCGCTCCTCTTTTTCACGATCTTTTTCCGAACGCAGACCGCCGTCACGATCAGGATCACGATGTACGCGATCACCATCGCCAGCACGTACACGTCGACGCCCAAGACCGTGATGAGGAAGGGGTTCCTGGGCTTGAACATGTCGTCGCTCGAGACCGGGCAGCTCAGTTCGCAGTCGACACAGGAGCACGGCTGGGTCGCCGCCTGGAGGGACGGGAGGGGAGGGGCGGCGCGTCAGTACCCCTCGCCCGCAGAGACGTTAGGCCACACCTGGGCGCCGCAGGGGCCTAAAGTCTCTCGCCAGGCGGAGTACGCGGCCGACCAGGTGGTGGGTAATTAGGCACGGCCCACATTACAGTCGGCACCGGAAAACCAAATCAGTTTCTACGCGTGTGTACGAAGACTTGCACGGCAGTTGACCTCTGGCCAGCCCCGCCGGTTCGATAACATTGTAGCTGATATCAGCCGAAGTCGCCGCGATGTGATCACGGCCAACATTAGACCAGGATCTTCTTCAGGTGAAGAGATTTGAATGACGTAAAGATAAAATAGTAAAAAAAGGGAATGGATGGAGTGCGTGGGTCACCGGGCGAGGGTTCCGTTATGTTATTCTTAGCTTAGCCTCTCCTTATAAACCTATCCTAGGAATGGTCTACCGATGTCGACCAATGTTAATGTTAAGGTTTCGGATTTCAATGGTGCCTCGGCCTTACTTCGGATGTTTCGTTGCAGCGCAGCGTTTTGATCTCTCTGTTGTTCATGTCGTCAAAAATACCCCGGTTGCTGAGGAAGTTGATGGTGAACGGTGACAGCGGATTTCCCTTGCCAACGAAATCAAACCACCTGGAGAAACAAACCAACATTCGTCACACATAGCTCACAAAAGTAATGTTTTAAAAAAGAGGAAAAACTCATGTTTCCAACGGGCAATTACCTAGAGGAGTTGCATGTCGCGGAGTTGTAGGCCCCGCAGGTGATGTCCGTGGCGTACTTGCCGCTCTGGGGCATGACGACGCCCTTGCACGAGTCGTACGCGTTCTGCATCGTGTCCGCCGTCAGGTAGGCATTGATCTCCGTAATGTACTTCCCTTTGACAGACGCAAGGCGGGTGATTTGTCGGCACAAAAAAAAACACACACACGCATACGTTTCAGTCCGCGCCATCCTCTCTCTCTCTCTCTCTCTCTCTCTCTCTCTCTCTCTCTCTGCGACGAAAACGCCTACCCTTGTCGCTGGTCTTGGACTCGACGACCTCCAGGAACTCTGACTGCGTCGGCGAGCACGTCGTCTCGCAGAAGATGGAGTAGAAGTTCCGGAAGCACGCCGGACACCTGCTGTAGATGGCAGCCGCCTTCAGCAAGCTGGCGTGCATCGTCGCGATCTGGTCGGCATCGCAGCAAGTGATGGCCTCTGCAGCGAACGAGACGGTGCGCGCCGTTAGACTTTCGAACACGGTCGACACGGTTGTGATGCACGAAAAGCAATTATTCGGGGATCTGATTCCGTACCACCCTGCTCGTTGAAGAGGTTGGGGCAGTCGGAGCGCAGCGTCTCCAGGGCGGCCGCGTCCGTCAGCTTCCTCGGGCCCTGGGAGTCGACGCAGTTCTGCTTGAAGCCCTTCTCGTCCGTGTTGCACTCGCCGTACCAGATGCATTGCTGCTCCGCCGCCTCCGCGACCGGCAGGCCGTGCTGCACCCCGCGCGAAAAACAAAAAGGTGAAAAAAAGCAGAGAAAAAAATACCACACACGGAGTCGTGCCGTGGCCTTTCTTCATCTCGTTCCGGGCCCGGACGCTCACCGGAAGGGCGACGCAGGTGATGGCGAGGACGACGGCGAGGCTCGCGGGTGTCATGGTGGCGAGCGCAAGCAGCCCTGTCGGCGGCGCTCGACTCACTCGGCGCGGTCAGCCAAATCACTGAGCGAGAGGCGCGCGCGCTGTCGGCCGGTCGGGGCGGGTCGACCCGGGCAACACCTGTGCGATAAGATTGCGATCCGGATGGCGCTTTACGTAGACGCGGTGGCATTGGCACGGCGCTGCTGCCCCTCGGCCGGCCGTCTCCTCTGCCGTGTGGACACAATGTTGTCGCGGCCGCCGGGCGGAGGAGCTGAACCTTAATGAGGGCGATAAGGTGCAGGTGTGAATGACGGAGGCGGCGCGCCCGGGCGTGCCCACAGTGTACCTTGCTCTTGCTTTCTATACAGGCCGGCCGTGCCCGCACGTCCCGATCTATGATAACCGGCTGGCGCGTCTCGCAAAAGGACGGCGACCGTGGCCTGCGGCCGTTCGGCTCGGGTGGGTGTGGTTGGGGTGAAATAAAAAGGCCGGCGGGTGGAGGTAAAAGTACTTTTATTCCTTGGCGGCGACCCACGTCCACCGCGGTGGGTGGTGCTGCCGCAGGTGCCGCACCCTCAGTATGGTGGGGTGGCCGACGGCGCCGCCTGGGTGGCCGACGTGCCTTTTGCGTGCCCTCTGCCGCCGCATGAGCTGCCGCATGCTGTCGTCGGCGGCCTCCTGGAGGCCGTGTTCGTGTCCGTGACTGTGCCCCTCTGTGGGCTCGGCGAAGACGTAGTGGCTGGCGGTCACCTCGTGCTCGAGCGGGAGCCGCACCGGCGGATGAACCTGCGGGCCCTCGCCCGCTTGCAGCCCGGGGTAGTCCGGGCCCGCCAGCATCAGCTGGTCTGACGAGCTCTCGAAGCCGCCCACCGAGTTGTGCTCAAGCCACGGGGGCTGCCCGCCGGGTACGGTATGCGGAGGGAAGTCGTGCCCGCCGAAGAGCTGGGAGATGTCCTCCCCGCCCGAGGGACGCGCCGATGGCGAGGACGAGCCCGGCGAGCTGCCCAGGATCACCTTCCAGGCGCTGTCGTCGCCGTCCTCGGCCAACGGCGATGCCCTGAGCGCCTGCGGCTGCGACACCCCGGCCTCCCCGCCGCTGGCTGGTTCGATCGTGGAGGTGGACGCCGATGACGAGGCGCCGGTCGAGGCGCCGCTGGAAGCGGTGGTCGGCGTTCTGGGCGGGGTGGCTGCGGGGGCCGCGGGTCGCGAGGGGAACTGGAACTGCTGCACCGACGGCCTGGAGCCAGCGGTGCCCCGGGCGGCGCTGCTCGACACGCTGCTGGTGGGGACGCCGCCGCCGCCCGCTCCGGGGCGCGTGGGGCCCACGGGCAGGCCGGGGCTGTCCAGCTGCGCAACACGAACCAGGCCATGAAACGCACGAGCTCGCACTGAACTGAGAGAAGGAGCAAGACGTGGAGTACGCACCCTGACGGTGGCCCGGAAACCGTTCTGGTTGTCGGCCGTGTACGAGACGGACCTCAGCGAGCCGTCGGGCTGCAGCAGGGTGTACATGCCGCGCACCACGCCGTCCACCCGCGACTCCCACTGGCTCTTGGTGTCCCCCGTGGACGGGTCCCGCACGGCGTAGTCGAACGCGTAGGGCTCGCTGTCGTCGTTGTCCTCAGCCTGGCCCTGGCTCTGGCTCTGAGCGCCTTGGACTCCCTGCAGGCCCTGGAGCGCCTGGAATCCTTGAAGGCTTTGACCTCCCTGATTTGTCTGTCATAAAAAAAATGGGAAACGAGTGGATGAGTCAGAGCCCCGATCGGAGCAGATGTTGTTTGAACAGCCCATCCGGCCCAGCTGTCGTACTCACCACCAGACTGTTGTCATCGATATCAAGCACGTTGGTCCTGGCCGTCCTGGGCCGGCCCGACCTGCTCCACGCCGCCACGGAGGACGACGCCGCCGCGTCCGAGTCGGGCGCGGCCGTTGCTGCCGCAGCTTCGGTTGTGGCCGCGAGCGTCGCCGCGGTGGTCGCGGCTGCGGCTGTGGGTCCGGTCGTGGGCGCGGTGGTCGTGGAGGTGGTCGAGGTGGTGCTCGGGCTGCCGGGCGTCGCAGTCGCGTTGGCGGCGGCCGCGGCGGTGGTGGTAGTACCGGTGGCGGTGGCCGCCAACGCCAGCACGGCGCAGCACAGGATGTGCTCCTGGGGGACGGGAAGGCATCGCCGTCAGCCCTCTCTGCTCTCTCACACGTGTGCGGAGCCGCGCGTGGGGGTCGCACGCCGCCCCGGCCACGCTGCTCGCCTCGCTGCTGTGACTGTGCTGCCGTGAAAGCTCGTGTCATCCTAATCACCGGCGCCATCGCGACGTTATATTCCCGTTCGCCTCGACACCGCGAGGCTCGGGCGCGGCGGCGGCGGGGCTCCTGGCTGATGCTAACCGTTCTCGTTGTTCTACTTCCTCCTCCTCGGGCTCATTGCCCCCCTCCCCGCCCGCCCGGCCCCAGACGTGGGTCACCACCCGGCTCGCCGCCGCCGCTGTGCAGTGCACTCGTTACGCCAACAACACCAGCGAGAAGAATGGGCGGCGGCGGGGAGACGCGGCGGCGCCAGAGCTGGTGGTATCCGCACACAGACAATCGCCGAAAATCTCGAGCAGCCGGGGAGACGTTGTGTTGCTGCACACATCCGCCCGGCTGCTGCGTCTCGAGAGGGATGAGGAGGGCGGCAGTGCCGTCTGCTGCTGCGGCGAGAGGAGTTTGTTTCCCCAACGGAAACATCGGCAACAATTAGGCCTGCCCCCCCCCC